TAACACCATTTTTGTGCTACTATAATAATATTAGCTTCGGTGTTAAATTTATTTATCGATGCATTGGTCAGCAGCTATTTAAAACTAACGAGAGGAGAGAGAGAGAGAGAGAAAAAAAAAGAGAAAGAGAGAGGGAGGGAGAGAGATGGAGAGAGAGAGAGTGAGAGAGAGAGAGAGAGAGAGGAGAGAGAGAGAGAGAGAGAGAGAGGAGAGAGAGAGAGAGAGAGAGAGAGAGAGAGAGAGAGAGAGAGAGAGGAGAGAGAGAGAGAGAGAGAGAGAGAGAGAGAGAGAGAGAGAGAGAGAGAGAGAGAGAGATGTGCCAATTAAGGGACATGTGACTCTAAAATGCACTGAATGCATCCTGTCCCATGTCCGTTTTTAACTTAACGTCGCTGCTTAACGATTCAAAAGTCGCGATTGACGATAACGTGTTGATACTCACGGCGGCAGCAGCACCAAGAAAAGAGGTGCGAGTCGAAGTTGGGCAGGAAGGCGCTGCGCTCCGTCTGACAGGCGCCGATCATCGGTCCCCCCGACGGCAGGCGGATGTCGGGAAACTTCTCCACGTGCGTTCTGCCAGAGCGCCGGGCGAATCAGCGCCGTCAGAATGGTGCCCGAGGAACCAGCGAGGGCTCACACGGGTGAAACACAGAAATACTGATTTTGGAACATGAAATGGATCAGTTTTTAGAATGTTAACATGGTCTGAAGACATCATTCGAGTACCTCGACGTAATTACTGCGGACGTGCTTTTGTATATGTTCCAGCAATATGTAATGACTTATATTTTTGTATTACAGCTTATTCTGGTCGAATTTTTATAATTTGAAGAAGCGCAATAAGAAAACTATCGTATGCAAACAATCGTTTGGGACTGTAACAATTCATGTTTCTGGCTTTAGAGGGCAAAAAAAGCATAGAAGTTTTATCATTTTCCGGTTATGGACAACGCAGTCCATAATCTATATGCTTGCATTAAAATTAATAACATGATTTTCCACATATAACTGCAACATTTCCAAACCACTTGCAGGTTTTTGGTCCAGTACATGCATTTGCTAACCATTACACGTGCAGCTTCTACTGATTAACAAACCACACCTCATCAGACGCATGAACTTTCCGCGGGCTACAAACCTCACCGACTGCCAACTCGGAAGCATGCACATTGCACAATGCACATCACCTTGACTGGACATTCGATGCTCGCATTCACCAAAAAGGATGCACCGAAGTGGTCATATGTCACGCACTAAGGAAGACGAGCCGCATATCCACCCCGTCCCATATCAGACCATGGCGCCTTTCACGCTTTTTCAAACACAGGCCGGCCTCGTCGTTCCAAATCTATCTCACTAATCTAACCAGACAGGTCAATGGATTACTGAAACCGGACTACCAAACCTCTTCTCCGCCTCCGCAACCGAGACCGTGTTATGGGTTATTCAAGTCAAAACTATTAGGTCTAAGGTATGACCGCGTTCAATACAGCGTCCACGAGATCTAAAAATGCCGATGTGAGCCTTCCGAAATAACAGCAAGGTAAGAGAAGGAATTCGTGCAAATGCACTTACGATGGTGAGAAGGCCTTTCCCCAGGCCCTGTCAGTTGGGTCTGATTCGGGCCTGCCGCGCACGTCACACCACAGGTCACACGGGGTCACACGAGGCCACGCCACGGGTCACACACGGTTACTCACAGGTCACATCACATTGGCTACTGAAATGCTAATTTTTTTTTGTAACCAATAAGTTTACAGATCAACATTGTTTGCTATAATGAGCCAGCGAATTGCAACGAAAAATATGTGATTTAATGTCAGTAAACTTATGCCAAAATAATAAACCCTGAGTCTGAGCTGATGCTGCTGTCAGAATCTGTCAGCAGACGTTTTCGCACTTGCGACCTTATCGCAATTAAATGCGTTTGCTTACCAAATTATCATTCAATCACAACACCAGACATGCGATTTTCTTTCCAAGAAATGCTTCCGTTTTAATTGTTAACCACAACGAATACCTTTATCCGATAGTTTCGGAAATAACTATAAATGACGAAAAATATAATTTCAATGAGAAACAACCGCTGTAAAAGAGTGTGTTACGAGTTTAAAGCTGTGAAAACGGTGCGCGACATAAGCGGGTGAACAGTGACAGCGTAGGCAGCCGAGAGCTCCAGGTGAGCACTGAGCAGTGAGGATATGGCAGCAGACAGCACAGGTGAGCAGTGAGGATATGGCAGCTGGCAGGGCGGGTGAACAGTGAACTGAATGCACGAGTGACCGAGTGTGCGGATGTGCACTTCCCAGCACCGTACTTACTTTTACCGCTGAAATAATCCTTGTAGAATATTATGTTATAGTATTGTTATATTTTCATATAATATAATGCAAATAGATTATAGATAACTTATGAATAAATATAGATAATAAATAACAAATCATAAATAAACAATAAATAAGTAGTAAAAAAATAATCGATAAAAATGTAAATCAACAATCAATAAAAATAAAAGGGAAGTCTACAATGCTCAGCAAATCATACAAGTGCATATATGTAGGTAGGCATACAATACTTTTTTTCTATAAGCATGCATGATTTTAAACGGATGAATAAAGCTGCGCTTCATACTCACAGGTGTCTGAAATGATAGGTGAGCGTCCCCATGATGGTACCAAGCAGAATGAGCAAACTGAAACAAATAAAACGACACCAAGAAGAATGAGCAAACTTAAACAACTACATAAAACGACATCCAGGAGAATGGACAAACTGAAATAACTGAAGCGGCGACATGCTTTTAACAGAGAAAAGAAAATATTTAGACTTTAGAAGGTAGCAACACAAAGCTATCAGATAACGAACTTCACTTGCTTCTTTACTACCAAGCCAGCGAACAGGCACCAAACAAACAACAAAATAATAAAAACATGGTGCCTCCATTATCCAGGCCTCAAACATGATAAATCTCTGCAATGAGTAGCGAGCTGTGTGGGTAACTAGTCCAACCAGTCAGAACACAGGACATTCCTCTGACTTGACCCGGGTCACAGGTCAGAGGTCAAAGGTCCCACCAGTCGAGGTCAACAGCTGCTGCAGCTCTCTCGGAGCCCCTAGCGCGGCGCCCACTGCAGGCTGGCAGACGACAGCCCGATCTCGGCGGCTAATCCCGTTTTATGGGCGGATTCAGAGGGGCTTGAGGTCAAACTGACCGAGGATGTTCACTGCCGGAGCGCCGGAGCACGGGGACTGAGTGGACTCTGCGAGTCTCCTTCCCCTTAACCCACGTGTCTCTTCATCCAACGGGGACGAGCAATGGAAAGGTGAGGTCTGCTTTCTCTTGAGATTGTGTGTCGTGGATTCAACCGGCTGTAGGTGGCGCTAACCAAAACTTTCTAACTATACGACAGTGCGAAAGCCGCACATGCAAATCGATATAAGACGCTAAGTTTCTCGGGAACACCCATGACGAGATAGCTACTGATACGGTGACCATGAATTAAAATATACCTATGCACACTTGAAAAGATATAACGCTCACTAACTCTGCTGCAAGTTTCACTAATAAGTGCATGCATTATCATTGTTTTCACTTACCATGACTCGGGAACCCGTGAAGACAGGAAATGGGCGTGATGAAAGCCTGTCAAAAAAGTAGTAACTGTTGGTACAGAACGTTTACAGTGTAACATCAACAACAATTTGTGTAAGGTATTTGATGCAAAAATATGCTAAACACGAAAATGGACTCAACAGTGGCATACATACATTAATTACCCAAGTCACTAAAACCTGGGCTATACCTATTGCCCAATACCACAGTCAGAGCTCTAAAATGCGCGAGGTATAGGTAGGGGAGAGTGGGGCAAAGCGGCCACCCTAACGCTTCTCACGATGCCAACGCTTGATTTTTAAACTTGGATATATTCTTATTTCTTTCTATACCAATGTGATCCCTATTAAGTTGCCTTTTATTTCAACTGCATTTTATTTCCAAAGGCGTTCACATACGAAAGATATTGACAAAACTTTAAACCTATGCATATTGGCCACTTTGCCCCATACCCTGGGGCAAAGCGGCCACCGGCGTCTTCTTAAGTCCCGATATGAGAAACAAAATAGTTGCCTCGTGTACGACTAGGGTATTTGATGGTGACAAGGTTAAGCGAGGATGGATGTTAACTTTATCATCTTCCACCTGTAGGTAAACAAAGAAAGGATTTTCATGAAAATAAACATTTAATTGCATTATCTGGTAACTCATGCAACTGAAAAGTGGCCAAGATGAATGCATGACGACACATTTGAATATAAATAATGCTTTTTATCCAGATGGAAGCAACTTATGGCCAATTGGGGGGTGGCCACTTTGCCCCGGCCACTTTGCCCCGCGCATACCGTCCAAGACAAAAATATTCCAGCTTAGCTATTAGTGGGGTAAAAAGCATTAAAATTGGTAGAATACATGTACGATAACCATGCAATACATGGACAAGAACGCTTATAAAAATTCCAAACGGTTATGGAATAACATAACATTTACAAATTGTAAAAATAGTTGGTTATAGTTGGTAACCTGGCAAGAAATGCTTTTCCGTGTTTCACAGAACAATGGTGATGGGCCTGAAACCCCGGTCTGGCTCATTCGAACGACCGTGAAGAGAAGTATTATATAATACTGAACGAGGCCGGTGTAAATAAATTTTCAAGACCGAGGTCCTTACTGGATTTTTGAACGAGGCCGAAGGCCGAGTTCAAAAATCAGTAAGGACTGAGGTCTTGAAAATTTATCACCGGCCGAGTTTGGTATGTATTTTACTGTATGCCAACGATAAATTTATTTTCTGGACCGAAGCTCTTAGCCGACTTAGGAACGAGACCATCCCAAAATGTTGGCTGTAGTGTATTCTGGTAATGCATTTTTGACCGTGGTCAATTTGCTTACACCAGTTATTACCACACCCCTCTGGCTAATGTATTTGAATAGGCCAGGCATACAGTAAAATTGGAAACCATAAATTGGAACTGACGCCAGCTATGAAGGGCTAAAACGATGGGTGGCCGCTTTGCCCCCGGTGGCCGCTTTGCCCCACTCTCCCCTATACAGATTTCAAAATTCCGAAACGTGCCGGGATCAAAACCAAAACCGATTAGTCGAAACCGAGATATAACAGAACCGAGATCTCCAGGATCGAGGAGTGGCCAGGGATATCAAGTTGCGAAAGACCAGAAGGATGTAGGGGAAGTCCATGACCGCAGGGATTTCCAGGATACCTATACATATAACTGCCCGGAGTTACAGAGACACCCAGGCCCACCGAGACATTCAGGGTCATTGTGAATGGTAAGACAGCAGGATAAATACGCGGAAGGCATAGACGTGGCTCCGAGTACCAAGTGCGGTTCTCGAAATCCATCCAAGCAGAACGCGAAACACTCTACGCGCGGCTTAAGCCGGGCTTAGTGTGTTTAATAGCTCGGGCGGCTTGGCGACTGATGCGTCTGCAAATGGCCGGAGCTGCATCCGGGTAGGGAAGGGGAAGGCTGTTTTATAGCAGAACAGGCTGATAGATCCGGTAAGATGTTGTGAGTTTCAACTGGAGAGTGAAGGCATATTTGAAAATATAATAAAGTGAAAGATGTTTGCAACTTCCCCAGAAAACACGAAATCTGATAGCTGTTGTAATGAATAGGATGAAAAATAAGATATGTTACTTTGCCCTTAAAGTGACCATCCCACATTAACATTAGTTTTGAGTTGAGACAGCCAAATTGGTGGCCATGGCCTGCAAATGCCGGTTTGGGCACTCACAACATCGAAAAATGTTTTAATTCGGAGATATGGAATTTCAAACTTGCAGTTTTCGGATTCTAAGGGGCTAATGGATTGGTATACCCCCTTAGAATTTGTGACGTCAGCGGAGGTCTAACGATTTTAAAACCTTATACTAACATCTTTGTGAAGCAGTGGTGGTATATGCTATTTGCGCGCAACATCTGCCGCAAACGCCGCACTTCTAAAATAAAGTCGCTAGGAACAGCGGAGATGCCAAAAAAGTAAACAAAAGTAAAAGTCTAACATCTTGAAAACCGGTGAATATTTTTCGGTGAAATTTGGTAGAAATTCGTTTTTGCTCTTTCTGAACCGAGCGACATCACTTTCACACCAATTCATTAACTTTTTTGAAGGTGGGAGGATCCCTTTAAAGTCAACCGTATACGTTACAGAGAACTGAGAAGCACACGCATATTTGACTAAATAGCTTGAATAAGCAAAGCTTTTGTCCATTTTGGGTTACCAAGCCCACCTTTACCGACCTCTGCGTGACCCACGGCGGCTGTCACACGGCTACCTACCGAGTTTGACGGCGACACACGGCTACCTACCGAGTTTGGCGGCGGCTGACACACGGCGACCTACCGAGTTTGGCGGCTGACACACGGCGACCTACCGAGTTTGGCGGCGACACACGGCGACTTACCGAGTTTGGCGGCGACACACGACGACTTACCGAGTTTGGCGGCGACACACGGCGACCTACCGAGTTTGGCGGCGACACACGGCTACCTACCGAGTTTGGCGAGGCCAGCGATGACGATGAACAGGGTGATGGCGTAGTAGGGCCGCACCTCGTCCCAGCGCCACGAGGCCACGTGGATGCCGTGGCTCTCGTGCAGCGGCGCCCGCTCCACGCAGTACGTGTACTGGCCGTCGTGCGCCACGTGAGGGTGGTGTGACCTGAGGCGGGGCGGGTCAGGTCAGTGGTTTGTGGCAAGATCAGATGTTCAGCCTGAGGTAGGGTGGGCTCACGCTAGCGGGGTCAGATCTTTGACTTGAAGGCACTTGGTCTTCACAATCTCATCGGTTACTGGTGCCAGATATGGGAATAATTTCGATCTTATTTTCTTTTTCCGTATCGTTTTTCCCAAAGACATTGTGTCTTTAAAGGCCATTTTTATAGCAGTTGACAGAAGCAACACCCAAAAATATAGGTCGCGTTTTTGTATGGCTACTAAAGAAGTGTCAAAACAAGCGCAGATGGTTTAAAAGCGACAAGGTCCGCCACCAGACCGGACCACAGATGGCATCCTTTGACGGCCCGGGTCAGGGTGATACAACCGGCTCCGTTTCAGCTCTGTGGCTTATCCAGCCGAGCGGAACGTCTGCCTCCCACCCTCCTCCGACCGTGATGGTCGCACTAACGAGCACTATACCGCCGGCGCCGACACAACATATCAGAGCCGGCCGACACACAGTCCGGCGGCTTGACTGAGAGGAGCCGCCGCGGCAGGTATATGTGCCGCCCGTCAGCGCGTATTGAGGGAGCGCCGGGAATGTGATCGGCGAACAAACATAGGATTATCGATAACACGAGATGATAGTGGATACAACTGCAAGTTTTGACGTGATTTATCCTCGACAGTGTTGAACATAACTTCAACGCTGATTCCTTTGTTTCACATAATCAAATTGTTTGAGTGCGCGAATGGGTCCGTACTCGTGCCAACTAGCCACCATCACGTGACAAAATGGTCGCACTTTCGTTTCGCTTGATCAGTTTTCAGCCCTAATTGTCCGACCCTGTCTAACCCTGCCCAACGCCAAACCCCGCTTGTCCCTATCCCGAAGCTGTTCCGACTATAACCTGACCCTGTCCAACCTTCCCAGTCCTGGCCAACACTGTCCAAACCTCTGAAGTCCCAAAACCTGTCCCAACCCTATCTCACCCTGCCAAAACTTGTCAGACCTTTCTCGCTCTTCCTCACCCAGCCCATCCCTAGACACACCTGCCTGACGCATGCCCGACCCGTTCCTAAACTTGCTCGACCGTTCCTGACCCTGTCCCACCACTCCCGACCCTATCCCAGACCTCCCGACCGTCCCGATCCTTCCCCTTCTAGACGGTGTCGTCCTCACTTGTGGTGGTGGTCCTCGGTGATGGTAATGCCGCCTCCGGTGTCGTTAGACTCGCCGCCGTGCTCCAGAGCCTCCCCCGAGCCGTGGTAGGTCACGTGCTCAGACGACGGGTCTGCCGGAGAACACACGCTGTCAAATTTGAAATTAGGGTTGGTGGTGGGAGGCGTGTGGGTAGACCATCAGTCATCACTTCGCTAGGGTTTATTGGTTAGGAGCTGCGACCGTGAGAGTTCCTCTACCCGTTTTATCATTCAGTCACGCATACATGGATCAATGCTCCAAAGTGATTGTCGAAGACTTGGAATCCCATCAAACGAACATCTTTTTGTAATTTCGGATAGCTAGCCACACGAGAAGAGTGTTAATAAAACGTTAATCTATTACTTTTTTTGTCATCTACAAGAACGTAAATGAAGTACCCGTCTGATAGCCTTGAAGATAATTTTCAAACAGTAAGTTCCTCTTCCTTTCCCATTTCCATTATTTCTGTCGCCATCAGTCACTGTCTCGTGTTGAACCACCCCTCCCAGCCGTTCGTACGCGTCTGGTGTCAGGCCCGGCAGGTTTGTGTGTTTACCGGTCGCAGCACAGTATCTCACGGAGGGACAATCACCCCAGGTTACAACCTACCGTCACCTCGCGCGGCCTGATGGACGGATGGTGTGCGCCTGGGTGGCTTATCGCGCTGACACGTATCGCTTCAGAGACAAATGGGCCGGGAGGGTGATACCGCGTCCCGCGACCGGTGAGGGTAGGTGTGGGGGGTGCGTTCGATGACCCGTGAGGAGGCGGGGGAGGAAAAAAGGTGGCGGATGGGAACAGGTCAGCCTCGTCGGATCGCAGGAGACGAGCGGTTTTTATGGCCGCGATGTCTATTATCTACCATCCGTTTTGTCCAGAGGAAGATCGATTGTTGATTCAAATTACGGAAACTGAAAAAAACTAAGGATTTACATACGGCATCTATGTTTCTACATGCCTTACAATAGAATAATGTAACTACACCCCTCGCCTAGCAAAACTAATATATTTTACCATGTGGGCCGGTTTGAATGTAAAACCGCTAAACAGTCATACAACAATAACCACACCAGCTGTTCAGAGGAAGAATGCAGCGTAACACCATTCAACCATTCTGATTGCCGTTCGTACAATAAAGGAATTGGGGCGTGGCAGTCAAAACATAACCGCAAACCAATAATCGACCTGTGATTGTTGTTCGGAGAGCCGTTTCCGAGGTCGAGGGTAGGTGTAGTGACGTTGGGTGGCGGTCGAGCGGCTTCAGTCATTCGTATACGAGCTTAACCCGCGCCCCGTAGGGGGGGCCGAAACGGCCCCCCTGTCCTTTTCGGTCGATATCTCCTAAACGGCTAAAGATATCGCCACCAAACTTTCAGGACCCCTCCGGGCATCAATTTTACACATTGTGACCAAAAATTTTTCCAGAGGCGGTGATAGGTTGGCCACAAATGACGTCAGAGTGACGTCATGTTCTGTCATTTTCGACCGAAAAAAGACCTTCGCGAGAAGACCTGTCAGGCCTACAGCTTTGAAGATACAGAAAAATGATGAAGACATAAAAGGTGTAGAATTGACAGGGCTACAAAACTGCTATCGCGGATTTTTGAAATTTTTGAGTTTTGATCCCCAAAAATCAAAAAAGCATTTTTTTGGATATATTAGCCAAAAAATCCAAAAAGTTTTTTGAGTTTCGAAAAAACCGGAATATATGTGATAGTACCTACTGTCTTCTATCTACATACCAAATTTCAGATCGATACCTCGTTTTTTGGCCAAGCTATAGCGAAAAAAACTGTTCAAAAATGATGACGTCAAATTTTCAAACTCAATTTTTGGCCATTCTAGAACTCGTAGAGCAAAACAAAGACCACCATTAGACTCCCCGTGACGAGCTGCATCGAATGGATACCCATTTTATGCAAAAATATCAACTTTGAAATTTGACCTAATTTGACCTGACCTTGACCTGACCTTCACCAAAACGTGACCTAGGCTGGCCCCAAAGGCTGCCTAACCCACATAATCGCATTTGTCATGTAAAATGGACCATAAAACATGTATCACACGACACATTCATATTGTGACCCCCGGTGACCTGACCTCGCTGTGACCTGACCTGGTATCAGTGACCTCAGATAGCAAAGTATGTGTTTGACGAACAATATACCATCGATGGTTTTCAATAAATTACCAATTTACTCGATTTCACAGCACATTTCTTGAATTGCCTGTGAACGGTGAAAATCTGACCTTTGACCTGACCTGTGACGTCATCGGTTTGACCTAAGTCAATGAAATTTGGTCACAAGGTAGTTCCCGGGTAGGGCTATCAAACGCCGTTTGAATTTTGAAAATCGGCCGGTAACTTTCCGAGATCTTAGGGAGGGGGCCGAAACGCCCCCCCCCCCCCTACGGGTGGTAGGTTCGCCGGTAGCCTACGGGGCGCGGGTTAAAACTCCGCTTTGGGCAGGAGCGCCTCCCTGAAGGGACGCTAGCTCCCTTGATTCGGGACGTCAAACCCTCTGATCAGCTCCCGCTCTGCTCCTTCCGTCCAGCTCCGACGGCCGACGCGGATCCGTCTCCCCGCCCATGGCACAGTGCACAATGCACACTACACAGTGCACGGTGTGCCGCACACTCCACCGCTATGGCACACTCCCAGGGATAACCGTATCGCCGGGCGGGCGGTCTGTATGAGAGACCGGAACGGACGCACAGCAGCTGGGAGACCGGAACAGGAAACATGGGTGGTCCCCTCCGGGGGGGGGGGGGGGCAGGCTGTGGTCCGCTATAATCACAGCCGGCGTTGGGCAATAGTGACGGAAGGCCTTGGTAGGCAATGGAGGGTGGAAGTTGGATCCGCGAGTGCCCAATGGGAGACGGGACAAGTCCGTTAGAGTTATACAGGCAGGACCACCACAATCAGACCTTGAATCGCTGTATTAGCAGATTTAGAAGCGGGAATGCATTAGCAATATTGAATTGAAGATAATAAACAATATTTTATTTCTGTGGCTACAATGAAAAATTATGCTTCTTGCTAGCTTCTTCAAATGTCCGTTACGTGACGTAATATGCTATTTGTTACGCGCTTAAAAATACAATTTTTATTTCATTGCTAACTTCTTGAACCGAAAAAACGATAGTTTAAGAGTTTCCATGTCATTTATCACAGGGACGACCAATCGGTTGACATGCATCAATGAACTATGCCACGTGTCATTGTTTATAACCGTCGATGATTTTTTTTCGGTGGTTTGTGTACAGACCGCAGGCGGGCGGGACCGAAGAGGTCGTCCGACCTCGAGGGGTCAGGTCACCATGCCTGCCTTCAGTAACGACCGAAACAGGCGCTGAGACGGAACGAAAGGCCCCGCAAATGAACTCAGCCGGGAGAACAAACTGCCATGGCTGCATGCACATTTCACATTTCATAGATGGGGTAAACAGGAATATAGTGTCTGTCACGAACTGCTTGCAGTGGATCGTGGACATACATATAGGTTTTCGACGACGCTGTCAAATTTTGACTTTGCAGTTAGATAGTTCGGAGTGCTTTTGGGCTGCTTTGCGCTTTTGTGTTATTATGCAAAACGTTTGATATAGGTACAAAGTTCAGGTAGGTCCTAAAAGGTAGTCCTGAACAAACAGGTAGTCCTAAACAAAGCTTTGTTTATCGAAATCGATTAACCCTATTAGTGGCAGGCTCAAATGTGATTAGTGAACGAGAAGCTTTGCTACTAATAACGTCTTCAAGCCATCAGTGCGTCTATCTACACACTCCCGAAAATGTCATTATAAGGGCGGAAATCGGGAGCGACGTCTAATAGTGTTTGATGACCTAATCGAATGAGTCAGGGTGACTGCGTAGCGTCTAGCGTGCCATTAATTCTAGCCACGAGTCATTTCCCAAGTGACAGTTTGCGGCCGGTAGCTAAGGAGGGGGCCGTCCCAGCTCTCTCACGGTCATCGGAGACCCAGTGTGTATGTGTGTGTGTGTGTGGGGGGGGGGCGTGTCTGCCACCTGTTGAACACGCCGGGACCCACCCAGGGCCGGGTGACCACCCATCCGTGACGTCACGAAGGGGGAGGGGGCGCCACGTCCGGCGACCCTGCGCTAGTTTTGTCGCCGTCGTCACAGCCGTGTCCCCAGCAGTCGCGGAGACGGCTCCCGACGGTCACGTGACCGCGGCGTGAGGTCACGTGACGTGACGGCGGTGTGGGCTACCGGCTGTGGTGACGTCATGTGCGTGACGCCATGAAGTGTGGCGACACGCACAGCTGTTGTGGAGGACAAATAGACACGGCTTGGCGGCGCCCGGCGTTAGTGGCAGTTCTCAGAGGCCTTGGTGCGCGTGATGGCTGACTGAAATGGTGAAACATATGGGCTCCAGGCTGTTGACGTTTGCTTTTGACCGAACCAGCACCGCAGCAATATTTTGATTGAGGCTTGGGCTCCGTCGGAAAAAATGCATGATTACGATAGTGACGAGTCATAATTGGTAAATAGCAATACGTGAACACTGATCAAGAACATTTACGAGTTTGGACAGGCCAAGTGATATAGCAAAACGGGGAGATTTTCCGGCCGGAGCCCGCCTTTCTGAACTGTGGACGCCGCCTCCAAAACGACCAAGTCACCGCTGTGCCACATGGGAGTGGCTTTAAACGGTAACTTCGGCTGATTCACGAATCACGAGTCTGGCCCGATTCCTCCCAGCGATAGGGCCAGAGTCGTGGGTCGTGAGGGTATCGCCGAGGAAAAGTGTCCGATCAGCACGAGATACCTGCTGATCGGGTCAGGAGAGTATGGGCTAACAGGCCACTGAACAGGTTTTCTAAGCAATGCCCACGTGACAAATAACCGCAGCATGATAATGTTAAATTAGCCAGCTCACGCTGATTGAGATACAATGACGGGGCATTTAAGCAATGGCATTGATTATCTGCTATTAAGATGTGCATAGTTCGATCGACTGGCTGTTCATTGCAGCTTTGTTTTGACTGTTAATTGCAAACGGGTAAGAAAAAATATAAAGACGTGATGTTAAAATGGCTTCTGTGGAAGCAATGCCGGTTTAATTAGGTATAAACATGAAAACAAATGTCGAAAGGACCAGGCACAGTATCACGTAAGATATGTTAACATAGACTGGTAATATTTGTCACTATAAATAATTGTATTTTGCAATTCATTATTATCTTATTATTTCATAATTATATTTTGCAAGCTTTTGCCTCTAGCTCTATTTCATGCATTTCCTATTTTGCTTCTTTCAATATTTTATCTTCTACTCACACTGGTTTTATTGGCGGAGACCGGAGGCAGGCATATTTCCAAGAATTTCCCCACACTCACCACATTTTGAATGACTTCTACTTCTGTGTATGTCATTAATGCGGGGACCTTGGCCTACCTTACCTAGTTCTAATCAATACTTCAATCATGACTTTGATCGCCAGTCATGGTTATGATTTGCTCCCGGTTTCTGCGTCTCATTTCGTAACAGCCGCCGGCGACCTCCGTCGTCAGGCATCAAAGATATCCCCGGAGTGAACATCTGACAGTCAATGCAAAGAGGATGACAACAACATCTTATTCGGCATAATGTGAAATACCAGCACTTGTAATCCAGGTAAAAGAAGCACTCGGAGTATCTGGCGGCCATGTTTACGCCGATGTACTCGGTTAGGAAGGCAAGGTCAAAAGATAAAAATGCCGCTTCGCTGGGAAAGAATGAATAAATTTTCTACAACTTTCAATCGTGTAGCGTGTTTCTTCCTTGTATTATAATACAATGTGTTGCCTTTCAGATAGCTTATAAGCTATATGATTTTCAGTGAGAAAAGCTCAGCTATTTGTAACCTACAGCCCCATGGATCCATGCATGCGTTTGCATCTGAACGTCTGAGCAGCTGTTTTATTGGTCTCCGTGATTGCTTGTCACCAACTCCAGACGCGCGAGGCGAGTGATTTATCGGAGATGCCCAGTTACAGCCCGACTGCCGATGAATGTCAAACCACACGACCCCATACTGAACCGCCGAGCCAGGGATTCGTCATGAACCACAAACCGGACACTAACCAGACAGAGACTTAGCTACCAGTGTAAATGAATGCATTGATTGCGTGCTTTCTGACAAGAATGCACGTTCCTGTTCTTACCGTTATCTGAGAATGCCGTCATGTCCACATGCGCTAATAATTGATGGATGTAATGATCATGTGCCATTACGCTGTCAATTGCATTTCAGCTTTGGCAACTGAGAGAAACTAGGAAATGTCTACGTCTCGATTCACGATTGTCTTGAACAATATAATTATATTGAATATAATAGCTTTTTAGCTAAGTAAATCTGCGAGGAAATGTGCTTTATTACGCGCCCTTGTGCAAGGAATCTAGTACGCACGGGACTACATACAAACACTTGAAAACACTTGTTGTGGTGCTGTAATGTAACTTTGAATAAATTACCTTACAATTCCTTGCTTGGTTTTGTCAGTGCGCTGCCAGTTACGCTAAAAAGATGATTGAAAGATGAACTTTGACTCAGGATCGGGTGAACTTAGAAATACAATACATTTACTTCCAGTTGACATTCTTCAGACCATTATTCATCTGGCTGTAGGGTCCCTGCGCCTGCGTGGAATTGACGTCATCACTGGGTGGGGTATCAACGTTCACCAGCTCATTAACATTAATGAGCTGTGTGGCACTCAGATGGTTTCATTGTGCCTATTGATAGCAAACATCTGACCGGTAACCGGGGCAAGACTGGACACGAGCACCGATAAAAACCCAACCACCAAACCTTGAAATAGATACAACTCGGAGCGAGGCAAAAACAAACCGTCACACATACGGTAATTCGTCATTACGTGGTCATGTCTTCAATTAACTGCGGCGAGCTGGGTGCGAATGGCCGGGACCTCACGCGACGGCGCCTGGATCTCTGCTGGGTGACACACACCCCATAAACGCTATGGTGAGAGCTCAGCGCGCCTCGGCGCCGGAGCAGGACGGCCTGGCAATCGGGTAGCCTTTAGCCGGCGAGACTGCCAGCCATTTCCGGAGTTCAGGGGCAGGGGACGTGCGGCGGGACGGCCGGGCTGCAGCCTGCAGCAGCTCTCCCGGTCTGCCTTTAACGCTCACTGGCTAACGGGCCATGTCGCTGAATGTTGTTCAGCTTTACTATGTTTTATCCCATTTATGTAAGCCTAGCCCAGCGTTATGCAAGGTAGCTTGTTCGGTCCAACTAATGCACTGCGATTCAGACCAAGGTCCTCGCATCCCATCCCACCCTCTCGCTCCGTTAGCCAGGTGATCGGCGGCACGGCAGCGCCGCCGTGCCGCCGATCACCTGGGATACTTTGCTGTGAGAACATGCAGTCTCCGGCTCCGCCCTTCCAAGCGGGGCGGCGCGGCGGGTGGATCAGATTGGATCCACCCGCCGACCTTTGGACCTTTGGACCTTTCCGGGCGGGGGATTCGTCAAAGGGCGGAGCTTAACCACTGGGCTAGGTCCTACCGAACATCAAGTTTTCGGAATTTGTCTTTTTCTCGAACATTTACTTTAAGAGCAGAAGCTGTAATGCATTAGGCAAGTGACAGAAGTGCGAAAGGAAATAGTAGACTACGTAAAATGGGAAACTGAAGAAATCTGCTTAAAGGGAATAGTTTACTTTCCCGAAATTAGTTTTTTTTGCAATGGGTGTTTTATTGTTTATGCTCAAAATGATCAGAAAATAAAATAAAACCATTTTATAAATATATTTTCTATGTTTTTACATAGGAAGAGCTATATTCTATATAAAACATGTTTGACGCGGAAGCTTATTACGCGTTGACCAATCGTATTGCGTAGTTAAACTCCAGGAGAGCAGGTGGCCGCGTTGCTTGTTTTTACGTCTGAAATCCGTTAATCAGACTCCCCACGGGCTTATGTAATGTTTCTGCAAATCACCCTGACTGCTGGCATGGATGCTGAGGTGATTGAAACATTGCTTGCCTGGCAACAATCCATGTCAAAACTACGCTAATTGGACTAGAGGATAAAATTGAACAGGGTATACATATTTTTTTGAAAAGCCACAACAACCGAGAAACAAGTAACCACATCAGATTTACGGATGGCGTTATTAAAAACGGTGACAGCTCAAAAATTATCCGAAGCCTGTCGGACCGCATGACGGCACAGTAAATACTCCCTAAGCCTGCCTTTTATCTCGAATCACCACGGATAGCCATCGCCGACTTCGGTGATAATTGGGACGGATCTGGGAGAAAGGAAAAGACTTACCGCAGTACAGGCACAGTGGACCACAACCACCTTTCGGAGAGTGTGCTATACCTGAAAAGCCGCTGCTTTTACCGGCTCATGTGGAGCGGCTGAGGTCCAAGACTCCTGTCTGCCTCTCCCTATGATAGGTGTCCTGTGGAGTGGACAGCTGTCCACTATCCAGGATATGATTGGTATGATGGTGATCACTTTCCCTCACAGTATGTAGTCTGGTGTGTTGAGGATGAGTATGATGATGTATAGGAGAGTAGTATGAGGAGGAGTATGCTGGTCCTTCCCCTCGCTCTCTCACCCGTTGCAATAAGATGCATGTCCCGGGTGGCCCTTCTCCTTACCTGTCACAGTATGGGTGTCGAGGGTGGCCGCGCGCGCAGCCCTGATCCTCTCGGCCCAGTAGTGCCCGTGGCTCCAGGCGCGGCTCACTGGTGCCCCACAGAGGAGCACCAGCACCAGTCCCGGCACCAGCCAGCAGGCCGGAGATGCTCCCCGGCCGATCACCATCGTTCAGGGCTCCGTCGAGGGAACAGGCAGCGGGCGCTGGGCTGTGGACGAAAGGAGAGAGTCAGCCGTCTATCCAAACATTACTCAGATACAAGAACGGAAAGCCAAAATGGCTTATATTTCATAGCTAGTTTTTCACAAAGCGGGGATGCTTCTAAAACTGCATCTCGCCTTGCCTTTGAGACGAGGCTATCAATGAGTTGTTTATTTTGACCGCGAACGCCGCATGATACCATGCTAGCCACTAGTGATGTGACTGTCACACACTTCACTGCGTCTTAGTGACCCGATACACTGACTTCGTAAGCTCTTCTACATACGTACTATATCATATACTGAGAATCGATCGCTTATTCGATGCATTGTCGTCATTGATCCTGTGAGTCAGTTCAGATGATCTGTAGCAGCATACTGCGCGTCACCGGAAGCCCCTCTGCAGACCGCGAGGCGCACTTCGAAATTGACCTGAGATGTTGGGATTGCACCCATCCGCCTAAATGAGCGCATATCCGCCGCACGATCACTCTGTATTCCTCAAGGCGGTGTCGTAAGATCTCTCAGAGACTGCGAATGCTCGCATCACGGCCGCTGCCTGGATCTCACACAAATCTCACACAAATCTCAGTAAAGCACGCATAACAGTCGGCCGCCTAATCCTAATTGAGTAACGTGCCACCCGCTGGATTATGTGATGAAAGCGCCGCGTGATCCCAAGGGTTACAGGTCAATAGTCTGGTGCAGGAAACGCAACAGCTCGCAACATTTTGATAAATATTTCTGCATTTTTACTTATACTTTCTTTCGATGTACCTAACAAATATGATTTAAGTGTTTGATAGTTTATGACAAGCAAGTGAGTTACATAATTGTTCTTCGCTGCAGTAGGAGTTAATAATACCCAGCTTCTGGAGGCTGAGGTCAACGGTTTCCTCAAACGCCGACTAATTTCCAGACAAATACCCGCCTGGTCGGGATCCGGTATCTATAAGCGGGCCGCCGGCAGGGAAGGCAGACACAAGCCACTCGTCGTGTGCTAGTGGTTTGGCACAGGGCCACTTCGTGATGACATGTTTTGCTCTTTGCAGCAATGCTTCACCTTCACGGCAACAGCGCAGCCTCAGATTCCATAAATACGCCGAGACAAGTTAACATTCACAGAATGATTGTGTTTGCGTGCATTCCGCGTTGTTCCTGCTCCTTGGGGTTGCTCTATGCGGTGCGTATATCTACATTCACAAAATGGTTGTGTTTGCTTGTATTCTGTGTTGCTCTTGCTCCTGGGGGTCGCTCTGCTAGGTATGTGTGCGTTGTACAGTCTGTCTTAAAAGTACCGCGCAAAGTGGTGGTGGATCCATCAAGCCTGACCGAGAAAGGTATGCTTTAATTTGAAAGTCACCGAACCAATTGAGCTGGGGAATGGACGAGGATGTCCATTGCTTCGGTGACCCAAATTTAGCAGGCCCTTCCTCAGTCAGGCTCGATGGATCCACCGCCACTTTGCGCGGTACTTTTAAGACCGACTGTACATACATTCACAATGTGGTTATAGTTATGTTTGCTAGCATCCTGAGTTGTTTCTCGGGCTCGCTCTGCGCGGTATGTGTGCAAACATTCACAAAGTGATTGTTTTTACTTGCATCACGCGATGTTCCGCCTCAGTTCGGGCCCACCCCGGGCCGTGTGTGGACCTGCAGGACGGCCAGCCCATCTGCCGCCCGAGGCAGCCGCGGGGGAGGAGGTCAGCCCCCGGAGAGCGAGACACTCCGACCGGTGGAACCGGTCCCGTCGAGCCGGCCGCCACAGGCCGCCGTCGAAATGGCTAATCCGTCGCCCGGCGACACTAATCCCCGTCGGTGAGGGTGGGGGAGGGGGGAGGGGTGCCTCGGGGGCACGACGGACCCGCCGACGCTGTGGCGAGGTGAGATGGATCCGGGACGCTGCGGCGCACCGCACTGCCTTCTCAGAACGCCGGCCTCAGGCGAGTAGGGGGAGATGGGGAGGGATGCTTAGCGGACCTGGAACGGCGACAGTGACGGACGAGCGGAGTTTGCATAGGAAAAGGGTTAGCACTTATAAATCTGGTTAACCTTTGAGGAAGGGATAGATAAAATACTGCTGAATGTGTTTGATAGATTATGCCTTATGTCTAAATGCGATAAGCGATTAATCAAACCACATATCGGCGTGATTCACATATACCTAACGGCTCGGATCCGGAACTCACGACTGAATGTGGTCGCGGAGTCTCAACGGTCAGCTATGACGTAAGATGAGGAATTCACCATAAAAAAAAAAAAACAGAGCGACTTAGCGACAGTAGTAGGCATTAGGCGAGCCACCGCATGAGCACAAAGTGAGCCGTCGAGCTGATCCTGATGCGAAGCGACGGCCCGCGATGCACGGGAGCTGTTACCACATCAAAGAGGCAGAGATACAGTCATGACAAAGGACTCGCCTGTCACGGAGTGGTGTGCCCTGAACTGGAATAGCATCAGGGAGGTGCTGGTGCAGGTCTGTGACATGCATGGGATATTGATCGACTGAATCGTGAATCCTGACCGGTATATTTGCTGACCGTTTTGTGATTCTGTCGCGTTCATGGTAAAGGTAAAATAAAAAGTGGAAGTTGATAAACTTCAACAGCTGCTCAGAAGCGGCGGAACACCTTCAATTAAGGGGGGGGGGGGGGGCACTGCCGACTTTTGATCCCATTCTTTCCATGCAACGCTCATAGGGCTAATGTTAAAATGCCGAAATCAAAGGGGCGCACGGTGCCCCGGTGCCCTCCCCGTTCCGCCGCCTATGCAGCTGCTTACTAAATTTATATGAAAATAGCAACCGATATACATTGTAATGTAGCGCCCACTCGGGTTTCGGAGTGCGCTCAGCGATGTGGAAACTGGCCTTTATCAGCATCTGCGCGTTGTTGCCGGCGACTGGACGTCCCCATTGGATTACTGATCTCGCGATTTTCTGCAGATGGCTGCCGACCAGCTTATACCATCTGTGGAATGCCGATAGAGACCTGCTTATACCATCTGTGGAATGTCGATAGAGACCTGCTCGCTGCACTGGTGGGCCCTGCGGTAGTCCTGCAGAAAAGCTAGTCAGAGCTTTTGAGTGCCATCGTGTGTGGGATTCGGTGCGCTCGTGTCTCCATGATGCCCGGTTACTTGACTCACGTTTCCATGTTTCGACGCACTGCGAATATGATATTGCGTTCACTAGCTTAAAGATGAATTAGTGTGATTGATTTGCAAGGGTTGTAGCTACTGACAGTCTCGCCTATTTCACATTTAGCGATCCATGTATAAATCACAGCATTCGATCTGACATGCCTAAAAGCTAAGGACTTTTCAAGCAGTACTTTGTTACCCAATCATCAACAAGCAAACATGATAGTTCTACAGAGCTATCAAGCTATTTACGGCCCAGGGATACTCAATTTCCAAAAACAAAATATCTGACGTTAATCATGGTGACTAAAGTTAAATGAAGAGCCAAGCCCTTTCAAAAATAAACCATTGAATGATGATGAATTGGGAGCCTCTTGAACCTTATCCGCAGAGGACGTTACCCTGACGTGTGCCTATTCTCTGTAGGCTCAATATGCGACTTCATTGACATGATAATGCCTCTGTGGCGCAACACAGGTTCTATCCGCATACCCAACGAAAGTGGGATGTTTACAGAATAAATTTTACGTTTTGAGGAGTGTAGGCAGATGTTCCTCGCCGTCGCACATTCAAAGCTGGGACGTTCAAACACCAAGCAGGGCAAGACAGGGAGGTCCGACATATCCGATAAAAAATGCATCCCTTTCTCATCAACACTGCAACCACATGCCGAAACGATAGATACTGAAAACAGCAATTTACACTGCATTGAAATGCACAGGCATGTAGCATACACCAAAGTTGCAACGCCTGTGTGAGGCGCCTGCGTGAGCACCACACGAGCCCACTGCTGTGTACACATGTAAACACCTCAGACTTTACGTGATCTTTGCATCAACTACCCGGTATGCGACGCAAAACACGCTGAATAACAGTCTGATGAGTAGGCAGATATTCCAGGAAGACAGGGATAGTATCCAAATTTGATACCAACAGCCTAAACTCCAGCTTTGGCTGCTACTTGCTTCTGTCGGTCCGGTGCACGGCGTGATTGAGAAAGTGGGAGTGGTCACATCAGTTTAAACAAAAACCGCCTCTGTGACTCACATTAGCAAACCGTAAACATTATCCAACTAAAGCGCAGTTAAGGAGCATAACGAGTCATAACGAGTCTAACGTGCCCGACGTCGGTAGCACGAGAACAGAGCAGCACAGAAACCCATATGTGTATTTGTTGTGACATGTAGTGTGTGCAGCACGTCATCTTGACCTCATTGTCTGCATCAAAGTACCGCGGTTAGTCACGCTAAATGACCCCATTACGTGATGGTTCATGCACAGAGAGAGAGAGAGAGAGAGAGAGAAAGAGAGAGAGAGAGAGAGAGAGAGAGAGAGAGAGAGGAAGAGAGAGATAGAGATAGAGAGAGAGAGAGAGAGAGAGAGAGAGAGAGAGAGAGAGAGAGAGAGAGAGAGAGAGAGAGAGAGAGAGAGAGAGAGAGAGAGAGAGAGAGAGAGAGAGAGAGAGAGAGAGAGAGAGAGAAGGAGGGAGGGAAGGAAGGAGGGAGGGAGGGAAAGGAAGAGGTAGGGGAAGATGGGGAACACCGACCCCCTTAACCTTTTAGGGTCTAGTCACGCAATTTTTGGCCAAATGATCAATCTTTCAAATTCATTAGATTGTCGCATCAATTTTACATACATATCAAACAATTGTGTTCTTGTAGTGTCGTTCATAATTGCATTATGCCACATTTAGTAAATGTCTACATTTTTGGGGGTAACACCGACCGTTGGGTAACACCGCCCGAGCTCAGCAGGCAACGAAATTTGCAGAGTGCTGGACTATTAAGTTGTTCTTCTTATCTTAAATTTCGAGGCGTTTTAGTAGATTTCTAAACTACAATGGAAACGACTTTTTTATATCCCTG